GCGTTTTATTTAGCAAACTAATCTGGTTTCTTACTTGTCCATCATTATAATAAAATAAACAATTCTAAATTTGCTCTTACATAGGGCGATATTGTCTTCCAGCTTATTAATTCCTAAAGACAATGGGGTGTGCGATAGAATTACCTCCACGTGGTGCACCCTGGACAACATATACTAATACCACAAAAGAGTCTGTTAACTGGCAGTTGACTTCAGACTACCATCACTCCACTGTACGTCATATTCTACCACTTCAATAGTACTCATTCTACCTTTTCTCTGCCTTTGTGCCTGTCTCTTTTACATCTATAAATCACTCTTCTGTTCCCCACCCCTCAACTTTCTGCTACCCTGATGTTTCTTCCCCCTTTGAAGCCCGAAGTCAGCTTAAGGACTGATGATAATTATCAAAACGCCAGCTATTTGAAATAAAAAAATAAAATTCCTAAAGATAATATCGAAGACACAATTTGAACTTACGAAATCCTTATTTAAAAAAAACAATATCTACTAGTTAGAGTAGACAGGTGAATTAAGATACTTCCATCTTGAAAGCAAGGCTTTTGTACATTTGTCCGTAAGTTAGTGAAAATTGGAAATGTTGGTTTTCAAGAGTGGAGGGGAAGGGGAATATTCTCACCTGCTTAGGCACATTCTTTTAATCTTTTAGTCAGCAATAAATGTAATCACAAATTATCTACGCTTGAATTATTTAGTGTTGGTGCTATTTGCATGCTTTATTGCTGTAGATCTGTTTGTTAGAATAAGCTTTATGTGGGGGGGCTGATCTGAATCCTATTTTTTTCAACACAGGAGCTAATATCCCTAGGGTTCATTGTTGATGATAAAAATAATGATTACGTTTCATAAGACATATTTAGAATTTTGTATACGTTTTTGTTAATTGTCATACTGTTTTCTTCTCAAGAAATTGTCCGCCTTTTAAAAATATCTGCTAAATCTTCACTGATGGGTCATACTTAGAAAACCAAGCAAACGTTGCTTCAATGACAACTATCCTGTAGATCAATGGCTCCAAGTCTTCACTGAAGACATATATAGAAAACCAAGCAAACGTTGGTGCAGGTGTCTACTCTGAACTCTTCTCTTTCTACGCAGCAGCGGGACACAATAGATCCGCTTTCGAAGGAGAAAAAGAGGCCATTAAGATAGCACTAAGCCAGCTATGTTGCCTGGATACGAAATTTACCAAAGTAGTAATACTTTCGGACTCCCAGTCATCAATAAACTCAATTGGAAACAGGGAGCTACCCAAAACAGCTGAGATATATGAATGTATGTATATATGTTCACCCCACCCCCTCCCCGTGGGGAAATCTGAAGTCAACTAGGGGACTAATGATAAATTTCATTAAGCCTGCCATTTTAAATAAAACTTATAATAATAGAACTGAACTCACCTCAAATGTGCCGACCCTATTTGGCATCCAAGTGAGCGTTGGCAGCCCTAATGAAGCTGTAATCTGGAAGAAAAGCTGCAGTAGCCGATCATGACCGGGTCGGTTTACCATAGTTCCAACATCATTCACAACGAAAATGCTAGTCGGTACATGTTCGTTGGATGTTCTCGAAGCGGCCTGGAATGGTTCACATATTTTTTCAAGTATTTTGAGGGGAAAGTAATCAACCATGACTGTGAATGTATAACCAGGATCGAGTAGAATTTGTGGGTATGGTTTAGCTAGACGTCTCAAATGGTCACTCGGATCAACTTTCTCCTGTTTGACATGACTTGGCACATCAAATATGAAGGCGAGGAGTTTTAGACGGACGTAATCTTGTTTCATGGAAGAAGAAGAAAAGGCGGCAGTGAAGTACTTTGGCTTAGGGAAAAATAAATCTCTTGGAGCGAATTGAGTGCTGTTTCGAAATGAGAAACCAACGCAGATTTGAATCGTGAATAGGAGGCTTATCTTGAGCCAGTTCATGCCTACAATTGAATGTTATGATTATTATTATATCAAATGGCAGGCGTTTTGATTGTTATCATTA